CTGAAAATTTTGTTGGCGATGCTGGGAAAGACATATATCTATTCAAATTTCATGTTCAAAGTCGACTTAAAACCGACTTAAAAACCGAATAAACTGAGCTTTTTAATATCTCTTTATTTTTTCTTATCATGATCATTAATTCATTTTCTTGGCACTACTTAATCAATGCTTGGCATTTTGGCACTACTTAATCAATGCCTTGGCATTTTGACACTACTCAATCAATGCCTTGGCATCTTGGCACTACTCAATGCCTTGGCATTGACCCTACTCAATTGATACCTTGGCATTGACCCTACTCAATTAATGCCTTGGCATTTTGGCACTACTAAGTTAATGCTTTGGCATTTTGGCACTACTAAATTAATGCTTTGGCATTTTGGCACTTAACATTAGTTTAAGTCATCATCATAATACGATGGTTTAATTGCACGTGTTACATCCCGGATCCTATCATTTTCCCGACAACCACTTTCCCAACAATGTAAATCTTGACAGCATTGGTTAAGGGTTAGCGTTAGTTCCGGTCAATTTTTTTGTCGGGAAAATGATAGAGACCCGTTACATCCCAAAAGGCAATTTATTAAAAGCAAAAAAATCTTTGTATTCGTTGTCATCCTACATATTGTACATTACATAAAGTAACATTAATGTTGTTATAATTAAACTATATAGTAAGAAAACGAAAAAAAGAATTTATGTATTACTGCAAAGAAATATTTTGTTATAAAAAAAATATATTACAAAAAGTTTGAGAAAAAAAAAATGAATGAAAATAAAATCCTAATACAAATTTACATGTAAATTTTCTTTAGAATAGAAATATTCAATGTGTCTATATAGGAAAACCAATTATTAATTAATATTGATAGTCTTTTTTACTGCCAAAGAAAATAAAAATACATCTATGAAGTATTATATTATGCGACACCAAACATCCAAAAAGGTGGTATGTCTCTTCGTCTAGCTTCATCTCCTATACCAATTATTGTATTCAATTCTTCTTCGTTTGTTTCGCCATCCAGAATAATTTTGTTTGTTATTTCATCAATTTTTTTAAAGTATTTGGAATAATAATCTTCATCTCGAGTTTGACATGTATATCCTTTGATTTCACTAGCATTGAGTGCACTCTTTGCCATATGTGCTAAATTTACAATAACGCCATCATGCATTCTATCCTTATAATGTTTGAAATGTTCTAAAACTGCTTTACTAAGTTTTTGTCCATCTTTTGTTTTATATTGCCATATATCTGATCCACAATGTCCATTTTGTATTATTCGTACAAGACGTAACCAATATTGTAAATTTAATGTTGTATACCGAAAAATATTCTCGTCATAGTCTGCTGATTTGATTTCATTAGTATCAACCAAATCCTGAACATACATAATCTCATGACTTTGTGAAATCTTTGGCGTTGACGCATCTAAAGAGATATTAAATTGTTTACCAATACGCATCCGTATTCGATTGGCTACTCGAAGGTAAAGTCTTATATCGTCAACAAATCCAGCTAATGATATCACT